ACATCCAAAAGACTGGTCCTACCTGTAAATACTAGTGAACTTATTTACATTTAGCTGCTTTAAGTTGAAAAAACTGTTGAAAGTATTTATGTGTATCATATATTGATGATTCTTTAAGGACCATACACAGTTTTTTATTAGTTACATCTTCATAGAAGGTAAGGGAAGTTTCCAAGTTCACACCATTTGAAAATACGATAACTGACATTAAAACTTCATGCTACTTCTTGGAACTCTGTACTAAATCTTAGAATCAAGGTCTGCATCATTTAGAAATTGAAATAATATAAAATTTTGAATATTCACTGTGCCTCTCTTGTTGATTCTAAATTATATTTTACATAAGCTATTCTACATGTTACTTGGGTTTGCATACACTAGTATAGATTCTGGTTTGGTAATGAAAACACAATGACTGATCAGTTTAGTTTATCTTTAGAACAAGATAAAAAGAAATTATTTCTTATGTGTAATAACCTAAAACTAAAACTGTTGCCTAGTGCCAATGTCCAATACTGTTCTCACAAAGTTTTAATAATTGAGCCTTTTATCAGAGATAGTGGCCTAAAGTAAAAACTTTTAATAATTAGTAATTTAGCTTATCTTAATCATCCTTAATTTTATATTTTTCTTTTTGATTTGGAACACAATACTTAAGTTAGTTTTCCATTCTGCTGTTTTATTTCTAGTTTGATGTGGGCCAGGACTTATTTTATGTTTTATTTATAGATGATCAAAATGACTATTGCTCTCATTGTGATTTCAAATAAGCCACAAGATCACAGGCACCCAAAATATATTCCCAGATGACTGCATTTATAAGGTCTTTTTGCTAGACTAGCACTCCTATGTTAATGTTCTAACTTTTGACTAAGAGAGTGGGAAGCAGGTATTGTTTGCATGAAGCCACTAATAAGCTTAAAATGAGAAAGGGAAAAAATCCTCTTTTAACTATTTTCCTAACAGTACTGTTAGCAGAGAATAGTTTGCTAGATCATCCTGGATGAAAAAAGAGACTCTGGCACTGACAGATGGAAGGAGTCTAGGATTTCAGAAGTGGGCATTTCTTAGAGAAAGAGCAGCACAATTGCAATAATTCCTAGTTGGCATGCTGTGATAAAGAAGCAATAATAAGTGGAGGATGCAGACCTTGATATTTTCCTGAAACCTCTTATCAGCTTGGAAGCAACTTTTTACTGACAAGTAGATATCTTACATTAGGCATATGCCTTCATCAAATCTATGATTTTACTATACACCCGTTGTGCAGCGTCCAGGCCCCAGATGAAATCAAAATGATTCCACTCTGGCAACAGGTCAAAGTAACGTAGATTTCTGATTTGGGGGAGGACCCTGGCCACATCCCGGAGTGTTACAAGTACATCGTGTCCACCAACCCACACAGCAGTGGGTACTTTCATGGCAGTCAAGTCATACAGTGGGGGTTGGCTCTATGGAAAAGAAAGAAAGGTCATTCGTGAAAGGAAGGTCTTCATAGCAACAACTGAATTCAGAATAAATAGAAACTACTAAATGAGCATCTTCTTTGACCATAGTTCTGTTTGGTACCAAGGAAACAGGGAGAAAATGAGTAATGCTTCCTATTTTCAAGGATTTTGCAAAGAAGGCAGCAAATGAGATAGTTAAGTACTTGTATACAAAGTTGGGTAAGTGAAAACAAAGAAGTTATTTCCAACTGAGGTCTTCACATAAAGAGGGGTCATTTGAAATTAATCCTGTGGGGTGATTGTATTTTAACAGACAGTGATGAGGGCTTCTTAACAAGCAGGAAGAGCACAGATACCATGATCAGGGGGCAAGGTGTCCAGTGTACCCAGAAAACAAGTTATGTGGAGTGATACAGTAGGATATAAAATTGGAGGTAGGCATTCAAGGTATTTAGACATACTTTAGAAGTTTTGGGGACAAGTTAGGGTCATTCCTCAGAAACCCATCTTGGGATGACTGTATGGACATCAGTTTATGGGATGACTTTAAAAAGGAGTAGGTTCAAAGTAGGTGAAGAAAAAAATCTAGACAAACAGTGTGGATGGCTCATAGAGGAAGTAATTGATGCTATAGACATGGCTAAATTCTCTAAGGAGGAAAGGGACTAGTTAGTAAGAATCTAGTGAGAATGATGACAGTTTGAGAGTACTGGAAGCAAAAGAGTAGCCAGTGTAAAGGACAAAAAGAACAACCAAAAAGGGATACAAAAAGTCAGACATCTCTACGTCATGGAAGTCCAGTTTAGGGGAATGAGTTTCAAGGAGTCTATGGTAACTACATAAAACATTCTGAAGGTGGGCCTCCCTGGTGGTGCAGCGGTTGAACTCCGGGCTGTGAAGCTGCCCACAGCCTCTGCAGTGCGGGTTCAATCCCCGGCCGCAGGGCGAGGGTCCCACATGGCACGCAGACCTCTCCTGCCGTGTCCGCTGCTCCCCTCAGCAGTGTACTTCAATCTTTCTATCTGTTCTGTTCCCCGCTCTGGCTCTGGTGAATTCTCTCACCCTCCCGCGCTTCTGACTATACCCAGTGCTTGTATAAATAAATAAATAAATCTTTTTTTTTTTAAATAAGGATTTATGGTGATCCCACCATTTCTTTTTTTTTTTTTTTTTTTAAGATTTATTTATTTATTTATACAAGCATTGGGTACAGTCTGAGGCGCAGGAGGGTAAGAGAATTCACCAGAGCCAGAGCGGAGAGAACAGGCAGAGTGACGAAGTACACTGCTGGGGGGAGCAGCGGGCAGCAGGAGAGGTCTGCGCGCCATGTGGGACTCTTGCCCAGAGGCCGGGGATCGAACTGGCGCTGCAGAGGTTGCGGGCAGCTTCGCAACCCAGAGCTCAACCGCTGCGCCACCAGGGAGGCCAAATAAATAAATCTTTAAAAAAAATATTCTGAAGGTGAAGGTAGGCAATTGTATTTGGCAACTAAAAGTCATAGGTGACTTTAAAGAGAGTGACTGTTTTAAACAAATGAAGAAGAACAAAACTACATTTGCCAGTGTTGGGGAGTAGTGGGAGAGAGGAAGAAGTGGAGCTATTCAGCTCTTTCAAATATTGAAAATTGTTGATAAAACAAAGTCAAGGAATGATCATAGGTTGAAGGAAGGTTTTTGTTTGTTTTTCTTAAGGAGTTCATTTCAGAAAATAAAGTAGTCAAGAGGAAAAGGAGATGAAAAGAGATGGGGTCAAGGGTATAGACCAGACTAAATTGAATATAAAAGGACTTTCATGTTCTGAGAGAGAAAATGAGAATCAAGATGACAGAGATAATTTAAGTAGAAAAAAGTGAAGTTGAGAAATTTCACTCACACTCATGCAACAAGTAAGTATTAAAGGACCAGGAATCTTTCAGGTGAGAAACATTGGCAAGCAAAACAAAGAAATCCCTACCCTCATGGATCTTACATGGTTGAATTGTCTGATTCGCAATAAAATATAGAGTGAGAACAGAGATTATGTTGGAAACTTTAGGAGAGGGCAAATTGCTGAGGCTAGAATGTAATAAAAATTGACTCCAAATGGGGCCTCCCTGGTGGCACAGCGGGTTGAGCGCAGTGCTGGAGAGCTGTCCACAGCCTCTGCAGTGAGGGTTTGATTCCCAGGAGACCCAGGAGAAACCCACATGACGAGGCAGACCTCTCCTGACTCACCCACTGCTCCTCTCAGCAGTGTATTTCAGTCAGTCTGCCTGTTCTGCTCCCCACTCTGTCTCTGGTGAATCCTCTAACCCCCCCACCCCACCACTGCCTGCGCCTATGGCCTGTACCCCAGTTCTTGTATAAAAAAATTAATAAATCTTAAAAAAAAAATTGACTCCAAATGACTTAAAAAACAAAACATGGTAGGCCTGGATCAGCAAATTCTAAGAACTGCTATATATTTTAGTCATCATATTGTGCATTTTAAATATCTGACAATTTTGTCAATTATTCTTCAAAATATTAGAAAAGAGAGCTATAATATTATTATGTGTGAGAGCTCTTTTGTTCCATTTTCTTGTAAATGTAAACAATATAAAAGTATAACCTGTTCATTAAAACCAAGGAAAGAAGGAGGGTGGGTAGGAAAAAGTATATAAATAAGAAAATATGTAAAAATCCAAAATGAGACCCTCATTTACTCCTTCATGTCTGTCCACTCCCCTCCTCCTTTCTTTGGCTTTCTGAAATAACCACTTTACATTTGTTGTTTATTTTTTTCTGAACCTTTTCTAAGCATTTGTAAATATATGTAATCTGAGGAGTAGAATAAAAACTTTGTGGGTAATAGAATATTACCCACTTTTGTGGGTAATATCTTCATTTTGATGTTTTTATATAAATGAACATATTTGTCAAAGCTCATTAAATTGAATACACAAAATTAGTGAATTTTATTGTATGTCAATTATACCTTTATCAAACTGATTTTAAAAATAATACAAATGTACACATTTTAGCTCCTATATTTGTCTTAAAGACTATCAGCAGCATTTCATTAACAATTTAATCTATTCCTGAGAAATTGGCTGATCTGATTAACTGTTTTCATTCTCAGAAACAATTTCATTGATTCACATTTGTATTCATCACCTTAAATTTATCAATCAAGGAGAACAATAGAAGGTTTAATTTAGTGTTCTGAGCAAATACCGAGAAATCCTGTCCCTAACTCTGAGAAAAAAAAAGGTGGCAACATGATTGATAATAGTAGAGGAGTCTACAGATTTGGGTGTGTAAAGTTAGAGGAGAATAGATGTCTTAAAAGTCAAGCCTTCATGGGTAGATAATACTCAACTTTCATAAGAATATTTTTTTTCTGTTGATGCAAAAATGTGAATTCATTTACATTGTCTAAAAATTTTTATATAATGATTTTTATTATCATGCATCTATTGTGGATTATGTTAGAAAGGACTTCAACAACATAGGCTATGTCTTGCTATAACTACAAATTTAAAAATAAGATTAAAGATTAAATAAAGTAATATGATATAGAAAGATTGGGTTAAATTCAACAAAATATTGACACATCTAGTTAACTCTGGGTGGAAGAGTTCATTCTTTTGTTTCTTTTTAAAATTCTTCTTTTAAATTGAAGTATAATTGATATAATTAAGAAACTAAAATGTTGTTTTAGTTTCATGTGTACAACCATAAAATCATTGGATATTTGTATGCATTGTGAAATGATCGTCAAAATAAGCCTATTTACTATTTTTCGTAACGCTCAAATATATGCTTCTTTTGTTTCTGAATTTTCTGCAATGATTACAGAATAAAATTGGGCATTTAAAAAAAAATTGTATCAATGCAAATGGGGTGCACAACTGCCAGGTGGGACTCTTCTCATTTTTTTATTTCTTATAATTTCTCAACACCAACCTTCGGGCATCATACTGAGTGACTCACCTGATTGTAGTGAAGCATGTTCTCGGCTTCACTTCCCCAGTCATAAGCTCTGAATTCATCAGATCGGTAAAGCTAAAACAAATGATTTTAGAAAAAGAGTATTCAGAGTGAGAATCGTGACTGAATAATAGCTAATCTTGGAAAACCACTATACACTGAGAAGAAAATAAGCCTTCTGGTTCAACAGAAGGATTTAAAAAACCTCACTACTACTATGAAAAACAGTTCAAAAGAGAGGGAAGCAGTGGTCTCCCTTGGCTTGGAGGAAAAACTGATAGAAAACAAAGGCTTTTTAGGGGGAAGTCATATCTTACAGATTTTTCTTTCTGTGAAAGCCTCGGCTCCCCTGAGGTTTTCCCAATACACCTCTTGCTTCAACTCACATACTAATTTACAAGTTCTGACTTAAGATGACATTTATTTATGTCTCTTCCTTAGTTTGCACTAGACCTCTTACTTTTTCTTAAAGTTCAGGGAAATAAAAGCATAAAGATGGTGATGAGGACAAAACAGAAGCCAGCTGCAAATCTGTCTAATGTGCCTTTTCACCTATAATGAAAATGAGGATTCCAGTGGTTTCCTATGACCAAGATACAACCTGCTTTATATGCAGAATGTTCTGTATCGATGATCCAGTGGGAGCATGTGACATGTACACATCCATTCGACTCTGCAGGAAAATAAAACATGTTACAATGACGATCACTGTGCAATGGACTCTGCCTTTCAGAGGCAGAGAACTTACACCAAGAAATAAAATGAACAGAGGGGTGTTGAAAATGGAGAGACAGAATCAGATAGACAAGCATGAATTCATGTGAGACACTGGAGGGTGAGTGAGCCTTGGTAACCGGTGGCATGCATTGCTTGAGAGCAAGCCTGCACCTGCTCTGAAGGTGTGGGATGACTTGCTTAATTGGAAGTGGAAGTGACAATAGACACTATATTATGGAGCAAAGCAACCAGGAAGGAGCATGTGTCAGCGGAGGGGTGTGTGCACCTGCACCGTCATGGAGAAGGTCAGCAAACCTGCATTTTAGGCTCTAATTTTGTTAAGTATAAGCTTTGTGACTTAGGGCAAGTGAGTTAGTTAACATTCCTGAATTTCTGTTTTCATCTACTCAATGAACACGCTAAAAATCATACTAACAACTTGCATATGCACTACAGTTCAATTTTATAAGCATTTTACTGACAAAAATATAGAGATATAATAATAATCATAAATCCATGCCTTAAATATAATGAAACTGGCCAAGGAAATTATGAAAAATCTTTACTTTTGAAATAGGCTTTGAACAATGGTAGACTTGTAAAGAACAGGGGTGGTGTCAGCTGGTGGAGAAAAACCTTTGGAATAGCTTCCAGTAACAGTCTCATTGGATACCAACTGGGATGTGGCAGAGATAGCTACTCAACCACAGAAGTCTGCAAATGTAAACTTCTTCTTCCTCTCTTTCCCCTGCCCCTGTCCCTCCCCTTTCTACTCTACCTTTCCCTCCTAGAGGTCTTGCTTTTTCTTCCCTCTCCCTCTCCTTCAATTCAATCCCTGGAAACGAAGAGCTGGTGAAGCAAAATTGCCACTCCACCTAGGAAAGAGATTACATCTCCATTCAAATTTGCCTCATATTTTCTAAGTTAAGTGGTAAATTTTATTTGAGGCCAAAACCACCCAACCAATGAAGAAACACAAGAAAGAGCCTCCCTGGTGGCGCAAGGGGTTAAGCACCGCATTATGAAGCAATCCACAGCCTCTGCAACACGAGTTCAATCCCCGGCCGGCCAAGGAGAAACCCATAGGGTGCAGCAGACCTCTCCTGTCTCTCCTGCTGTTCCCCTCAGCAGTGTATTTCAGTCACTCTGCCTGTTCTGTTCCCCACTTTGTCTCTGGTGAGTCCTCTCAGCCCCCGCATCCCTGGCCTGTACCCCAGCTCTTGTGTGCATAAATAAATAATTTTTTTTTTAAAAAAAGGAAACACAAGAAATAAGTTTAATGTTTATGTGTGCTTCTTTGCTTTTCTAAGATTTTATTTTTAATACTTTGTATCAATTGTAAATTCAAAGTAACTGTGGCAAATGTTAGTTGATTGCAAGCATGCAAAACTGTTTTTGCATCAAATGACCCCAAATCTTTATACATACCATATTCATGTTTTTCTTGTTGGATCCAGCCCATAAGGACATAAATTCACTACATATCACCCAGAGTATCTTATTGTTGCATAATTTGATGGAAGATAATTTGTTGACTTATCTTCTAAAAAGAAACCTTTGGTACCAAATGTACTCTGCAAAAAAAAAAAAAATTATCTTTTCAAGAACCACTTTCAGACTTCTTGATATCCCTTCCTCCCAGGAATAAGGATTATTGAGAAATTTGTATTTGCATTTGTTGCTTTGGTCAATAACCCAAGTCACTGAGGGAAAGAGTCATCTCCATCTAGGGGAGATCCTCAGATATGATTTACAAGGAGACCATAGTAAGGATCCTCTAAATTCACTTCTCCATGGTGAAGTTCCCCTGCATTCTATGTAACTGGAGATTGCCATTTTTTTTATTTCTCATTAATTGGTAAGAAAGGTGGAACAGTTTCCCCTCAAGATCAAATGTTACCTTTATTAGGAAGAAAAAGCTATGCCTATTAACCATGTGCCCAGAGTTAGCCAACTGTTATGCTGGAGAGCAGGGAATGGTGTACTGCAGGTGCCACTGGACAGAAAAAATAGATGATGATGTCATAGAAGGCTGCAAGGCTAAAACTTTTAGTACTTATAAGCATGGTAGGGATCTTTGGTGAGACACCTGGAGTTTCTAGGGTCAGCAGATGTGATGAATGCCAGGAAGGGTCAAAAATGAGAGCAAAGAAGTAGAAAATTTGGCAATCGGGATATGAAAATGCACTAAGCCAGGGATGATATGTGCTCTGCAGACAGAGCAATACAAATGCGAAACTGGTCTATCTAGAGATAGATGTGCCTATATCTAAATTTAATTTAGCTAGTGTATCTACTCAACTCTGCTCAAATGTAGAACATATCCAAAATTAACCAATATAATGCACTTTGAATTCAAACTGTCAACCATACAAAAAGGAAGTTACATCTTTTGAGCTTATAGTCAAAATACAATACAACCATTATTACTCAGTCAATCCTATCGAATCAATCATTGCAAATTCTTCCTTGTGCTAAATAAATGTATTTTTTTCTATTTCTACTACTCCAAGCCAAGCGAGGGCTTACTTTGCTTATGAATTATTGTGATACCCAAACCACAGTAGGTCACAGGGGTCTCCTTGACTTCATTTTGCCCCAAATATATTTTACTCTTGACCACAAATTTAAAGGGTAATTTTGGTAAAATACAGTTTACTGTGGCAGTGACCTTTTTAGAAAAACAAAAGGCAAACAGAAAAAAAATACTTTTAATGAATAAAATCCCAAATCTACAGTTAGTAATCAAAATACTTTCCCTATGTTTGGAAAATAATAAGTATTTGAATAAATAATTGAGTAGTAAATATGCAGGCTGTGGAATATTAACTTTAGTAAATTAGAACACATTTCCACTTGGGAAGGGTTTATTAATCAGTCTTAGCTAACATCAAATTCATAACATATCATTTGAAAAATGTCTTCCACTTGGGCATTGTGAATTCACTGACCTGCTCACTGGAATAAGAAAACTTGTGAGTAAACCTCACAGATATAACATTTAGCTCAGTGAATAATTCTTTATAAATATTCAGTGCTGTTCAAGACTGAGTGGTGTAAATTGCCCGTGGAAACTGTAAACTCTGGTACAAACATGCACCAAATGGACACACAGCCCCTGCATACACTTAAGCACAGAATCTCGCTTCTGGAAATTTCGTCTAAATTTTCTACCTTTAGTTCAGAATATATTTTGAAATAATAAGAACCTGTGATCTAATATGAGATCCTTGGATACATTTTGACAAAAGGAAAAGCCTACCTTGATTATGGAATTTGGAAGTAGAAAAAAACTGGTAAAAATACCCGTGGGATATTTGAATGAGACCACAGGACTCAAGACAAAATTCATTTTGATTCTTTGTGCCAGTTCAGGCATGGTGGAAAAGGCTACAAACCCTGAGAGAATAGGAAACAAGACAATCTTGTAAAAATTGTAAAAACTTAGGCAATGTTTCTACTAACAGAAGTGAAACTTAGCTTTGTCACTTTTATTCTTCTTTTGCAATGATTTTGGGATGGATTGGAAACCCTCTCTACTCTCAATTTTCCATTGTTCTCTTACTCTGGATAATTTAACTGGACTGTGGAAGTGAGGGGTAAGGTGCTGAAGTGACCACTCCTGCTAGGTAAGCTGGGCAAGCTCCTTTGCCAAATATGCTCGCAATGTCACCCCCAACATGGAGATGCCACACTCAGCCATGGAGTTTCCAGAATGAAGAATCAGCTTGTGGGAGGTGAAACAGTTAATTCTTTTGTACTATCTTCCAGTTATTCCATAATAGAATAACTTCCTCGTAGCAGAATGAGATTTCATTGCTCCCAGGACTTCACTTGATATTTACCAACCCTCAAAATCTTCCCTGCTCCTAAATGGAAGGACACTCCTTGTTCCACAGCAGTCTTAGTAAGGACCAGGTGTCTCCATTCACTGTCATCTTCCAGCAATAACACTGTACCCATTTCTATCTTGTAAGGATGAGGCAGAGCCCAGAACCACAAAGGAATAGCAGCTTAGAATATCTGTGCATTTAGGTTCCCAGAGTTGTCTTCTGGGACCCCTCCACTGCGTGTGTGTGTGTGGGTGTGTGTGCGCCGTGCGCGCACATGTGTGCATGGCCATAGCAGAGGCTCCTTGCATGTTCTAAGATTGTAAGCTGCCTACAAACATAAAGTACTGATAAATATATATCTGCTATTGATGGTAAGTGATAATGACATCATTGTAAGAATAATTATTGTCTTCTGAAATTTCATCCAAACCAAAGTATTCACATTTCTAAGAGTATGAGCCTCTTTATCTCTTTTTTTTTGGAGCTAGATTAAGGATTTCTTTCCAAAAGAGTCCAGGAAACTATTAAGAAGTACATTTTCAAAGAATAGGGTTTTAGCCTTCAAAATGCTAAAATTGCATTGCTGTTCTTTAAATATTGAATCACATGCTAAATAAATAAAATCAGTTGATTTATTATAGTAACTTTAGTATTCCAACTCACAAAACATTATTGTATTTTTCAATTTGCTCATATAAAGTATAAGCCCTCCTTCTATAAAAAATGTTTATTTTTTTAAGTATCATGTGGATTTTGAGAAAGATATATGTGAGGCATATATACCATCTCAAGACAGATTTCATGACATTAAGTCTTACTTTTTCAGTTCAGAGGAGATGTAGAAACTTACTCTTTGGAAACACTTCTTTGGTTTTGGGCACAGGTTACTCCTGAGAAATTATATCACCATTATACAAATTGGTGCTGTGAGCGTAGTGGAGGAAAGTGCCCTACTCACGGTCTCTGAAATTCTGGAATTCACAGTTACTCAGGCATCAGAGCTATGGGCCCAGCACAGCACACAGGATTAAGGGTGTTGTTTGGCAGTTAGTCTGTTGCAACTTAAAGGTTAACTCTTGTAAAACTCTGACCCTCGTAAACATACCTATCGTGGTGCCAAGTGAATGTCCAACGAAGTACAACCTCTCCTGACCCAGTTTTACTTACAATGAAGTCTATTATTCCTGGGAGATCATATTTGGCCATTTCATCAAAACTGCAAATTGAAACAGGATATGATAA